AGCCACAGGGATTCTTCTCTGTTCTCTGGGCCCTGCTTCCCTGTGTTTTTGTATGTGTATAATTTGTGGTTCTGCTGCCTTCTGAGAATGGTTCATATCATGTTAAAGGTTACTGTGGTGAGAACATTTACCATACATCAAAATGGGAAATTCCTCTTCAATCACTGACACCAATGCTACATGACTTTTTTTTATGTAATGAACATGTATTAATTTTATATTTTAAAAGAACAATGATGTGGAAAAAATCGCATAATAAAAATGCAGAAATTTAACTATTTTTGGGTGAACAGAAAAGATTCCTGAGTTTATTCATTGTGAAACCAATGTGGGAGGGTGATAACATGAGAAATACATTATACAGAAGACTTAAGCTGGGAAGGAACCTTGAAGGTCGCCTGGCCTAACATGTATTTTCTACCTACAAGAAAACAAAGGCCCAGAGACCCCATCATGATCATTCAGCAATTAGTGGACAAGTCCCAGTGAAAGCCCAGTTCCCCCTTCCTGTTCCTACCCTGCCACATCCTTCTCTTATATAAACTAGTTCATTGTTTAAACATGTTGAGAACGTGCAGCCTATAGCTGGACAATGTCCAGCTCCCTTCAAGGAGGGACCTTCCATTAAGGTGGATCCCTGTGAACTTTCTGGAGGGCCTATGACACTCCTTCTAGTCGCACCTGTACCAGTTACTTGGGGCCTCCCTTCTGCTTGGTCTATTCCATGTCCCAGAGCAGCAATGCCACAACAGTAATAAAGGCTGCCATTCACCTAGCACCCACTCTATGCCAGGTGCTGGACGCCATTGCTTTTAATCCTCACAACACCTCTGCAAAGGAGAACCATTAGCCTCATTTTATGATAAGGATACTGTTAAGGGTTGCACTATGTTCCCCAAAAAGGCATATTTGAAATTCTACCTCAGAATGTGAGCTTATTTGGAACTATGGCCATTGCCAATATGTCACAGTAAGATGAGGTCTTGGTGGAGTAGGGTGGGCCCCTAATCCAATATGGCTGGTGTCCTTGTAAGAAGAGCTTCTTCACAGGGAGAAGATGGCCTTGTGGTGACAGAGGCAGAGGTTGGAGACAGTGCTCCAATCCAAGCCGAGGAATGCCAAGAATTGCTGGCAATCACCAGAAGCCAGGGAAGAGAGAGCATAGACTTGCCAACACCTTGATTTTGAACCCTGACTTCCAGAATGGTGAGGTAATGAGTTTCTATTGTTTTAACCTACGTCTGTGGTGACTTTTTATGGCAGCCCTAGGATGCAAAGCTCATTAGGTAGCAAATGTGCCCAAGTCCCCTCAGCCGAGATTCAAACTGAGGTCTTCCTGGTTCCAAAATGTCATGCTTCTTCCCTGCTCTGCGCTGCCCCCCTAAGCCCAAATGAGGGGTGGCAGTGGCCTGAGGCACATGCCCCCCGCTGCTGTTCTGGCAGGACACAGTGGAAGGGGGAGGAGGCCGGCGCCGCTCAAGGAGGGTGGGCTTCCTTTCCCAGCTTGGCGCCTGAGCAGGTGGGCCGGCTCAGCACACCGACCCGCACAGCCCCACGGAAAGATTGATCCTAGAAATGCAAGTCAAGTCGGAAAAGGCTTAATAATTGTAAGGGTAGAAGAACAGCTCAGGTGAAGAGCTTTGCAAACCTCATCTGGCTTATGTTATCCCCGTGTGTGAGGCAGACGGGACAGTGTTTCCCTGTCCCCAGGGGATCCCCGTCCCTTGCCACTGTCTCTCCTAAAAGGAACCTGAGACTCACAGAAGGTGTCTTTCTTAAAGACATACAGCAAAGCAGTGGGGTCTGAGTTTGAACCCTGTGAACTGACTCTGCACAGGTACAGCCCTAAGAGGCCATCACAGGAGCACAGACAGCTTCAAAGGTGCATGGTGTGGCCCCTCCTTTGAGGGCCCCAGACCATCTCCTCAGCAGCTCGGGGGGGGCTGCATTTGCTCTCCCAGACTCTTGGCCAGGAATCTTTATTAACAGGATGACCAAAATAACATGGATGATTTGGCAAATGGGAGGGTTGCCTGGGGGAACCTAGACTGTAGGGGAGACAGACAGGTGGAGACAGAGGGAAGCCAGGGAGGCAGGGGTGAGGTGGTGCCCTCACATGGCCAGTACACGTGTGTCCAGAAACAACTAGTCCATAAAGCCCCGCACTTCAAAGTACCTAGTGTTTGCTGCTTGGTACTGATCACCCCAGACTCCTCTCTTGTCCCCCCCCCTTCCTGTTCCTCTAAGGCTTAAAGTCCCAGCATGATACTGCCTGCACCAAAGGGTGGCGGGTAGGTAGGCAGTTACCACAGAGGGGCTGGGGGTGGGGGTGCCAGCCTCATGGGTGGCACTGCACCTACGTCATCAACGTGGCAGTTAAGTCGTTCCCAAATCAGAAAGGCACGAGAGCTTATGGGGAAGACAATCTCCTTCTCATGTTCTCTCTCCTTTCCCACAGTGAACCCAAAGAAGCCTGAAGAGAATCTTATCTCCGGGTTATCTTCCCAAACCCTGATTAGTGAACATAAGTGAATGTTTTCCCATTCACAAAAGGAAGCAGAAAAGAAAGGAAAGGAAGATTTTGGAGACTTCCTCTTGGGAGTTAATTGCCCTCCACCTGTTGTGATCTCTCTCTCCAGTCCTCATTTTCCACTTTTTCAGACATCACAGAGCAGAAAAGAAACTTATCTCACACAGACTCACCCAGGACAAGGCCCCCACCCACACACTGAAGCTGTAGGGGGCTGTGGTTAATCGTTTCACAGAGAGAGAAACTTCTCTCGGCAAAGGGGGGAGAGGAGAGCTAGAATACTCGGCTCGCCTGAGATTGATGAAATAGAATTAGAGAATCGGGGTCCATCAGTCCAAGGTAGAAAGAGAAATGTTGAAAAAACAAAAACAGCCACGTGGAAAAACCCCCCAACCTATGTCTTTCAACCCCCAGCCCTCTCTCCATGCTTCTGGAAACCTCCGTCTCTGGGGCATTTTACCTGGAATGGTGATGGAAAAAGAGAGGGCTATAAGAAGACTTGTTGCAATCAAGTAGGACGTTTGTATTTCTGACCTCAGACCTGTGGGGCAATAATGGAACTTTCTTTCTATAACTGGAATCAATTTCTCTTTGTATTCATTTCACCTGTTGGCAGAAACTTGTTTTCATCCAAATCAGGTGCTTACCCCCTCCCACCCTAGGACTGTGCTCAGGTGTGAAAGCCATCCTTGCTGTCTACAGCCCTGCCCTCTGACCCCTCTGAGGTGTACAGGAAATCCCTCCACTGCTGGCTGCTGGTGCCCTGCTGGGCACCCAGAAACCCCGTGAGCTGCCCTGGGCCATCTTCTCAGACATACCATTTCTATTTTTGCTTTCTTGGTAATTCCCTTTCACCCTGTGGCTGTTCCCCTGCCCCCCATTGCCACTGCACTGAGAGACACTTGAGGCTCCAAGAGAGAAGTTATTCACATCAGAAAAGGCAGTGAAAACTCACTCTTAAATCCTGTAAGGAGAAGGTGAGTTCTGAAGTTGCCAGCAGCCTACTTGATTTTTCATCTTCTTTCATATCACTACAGGTCTCCAAGGGATCAACAGAACAAAAGTGAAATGCCATTTTTTGCCCATAATATTGATAAATACACACACACACACACACACACACACACACACACACACACACACACACACCCCATCTCTGAGTTCTGGACATACTGCAGGACAGTGGACGTCCTCACTCGCTAACGGTAAGAATATAAATTGTATATAGTCCTTGTGGCAAGTACGTTGGCAACAGGCATCACAAATCTTGCACATTTTGAACACCCATCAAATCTACTTGTAAAGGTTTTAATTCTATGTTTAAAAAGACTGGTACACACAAAATGTATGTACATCGTAGTTATTAAAATACTGTTCAAATAGTGAATAATTGGAAAAGCTCTAAATACCCCAAATTAGGGGACTTCCCTACAATGGAGGAACCATGTAGCCATTAAATTTGTTGTAAAAGAATATTTAACCACATAAAAAGTCAGTGATGTATTACAAAATACATAATAAAAATAATATTTATAGCATTGCTTTTGTAAAAACTTACATTTATATCATGTAATACGAATAGAAAAAAAAAGACTAAAAAAACCCCACTAAGCACTGAAATGTTAATACTGCCCTAGATTAAAGGCAATTTAAACATTTTCCTTTTTCTAAAATATTTATAATATATTTTCTATATCTATATTATTTATAACCAGAACTTAAAAAAAAATTCACTGGATGGCCCGTGAAACTTGCAATAATTGTGAATGTTTTGTTCTTTCCATCAAAATGTTGCCTCCAGCAGGAAGCCCAATAGAAGACAGCACAGCACCCAGCCCTGAGGGCTTTTCAGAAGCTTGATCAATGAGCTTCACAGAAATGAAAACCATTTGTGTTTCACACACCTGTTCTAAACTGAAGGCTAAAGATAACAGCTCCTGCTGAATCTGAAATGAATTCCCAAAGAACAAAAACGTCCCCCCAAAACAAACAAAACCCCATCATCTACTACACACCATTTCAGTGAATAGTAAACTCACTTTCGCCTTGATTGTCCAATCCCTCCCCATCATTCTTTCTGTGAAATGAATCACTAGATTCATGAACACATAAACCAGACGGATTCTACTAATCATTGGCAGCACTAGAATCCAAGAATATAGAAATTGTACAAAGCTGAGATCAAACCTGTGAAGGTAGTGTTTAAACCGACAAGCGAGAGAATGGTAGAGCAAAAGGCACTGCACATACAGAAAGGTAGCATGTAAAATATGTACACTGTAAAGGATTTTGAAGAAAAAGTCATAGCTGGAAAAAAGTCAGGCTGAGGCAAAGCTAGTTCTTGGCTGTGAGGTATCAGCTGCTGGTTATTTCTTAGTAAAGTCTCTTAGCAAAGGAGGAGGGGGTTCTGACTATGTATCATTATATTGTTATTAACTACATTGAATTTTGGAAGAATGTACCTCACAGAAATGAAAAGCCACTTGATGTTGAAAAAGTGGAAACAATAATACATTTATTTAACCTGAGGAGATACTTCAATTTTGGGTTTGAATTTTTATATTTTGATCTGTTGATCTTAAAATCTTAATCAAATCAAAATGTACATATGTCTATTCTTCTTTTAAATTAATTGTCCTTTAGTCAGATGTAGAAGCTATACGTATAAGCTCTGCAGTTATTACTGTGAGTTGTGGTGAAGATGACACCAGAATTCCAGCTGTGTTAATTCTTCTAGGACTGGTTTTCATCTCCCCCTTTTTGCAGACATAGCAAAAGATTTATTCCAGAACTACCCAGAGAGGTCACCACCTTACGTGGTTTGCAGGTCTAGTGTCTGCCGACCTAGTTGTAGGTCCAGAGCCATCTGACAGCAGCGCATCTGCAGGTGAATCTTTGACTGCTCTGGACCTGGAGCTGATGGCAACTGGAATTTCCATGATACCAACAATACCATGTGTTGATCCCTCCTTTAGAGTCGACTCTTGACCAAGGTCACAGCCTGGCATTCCAGGGGCCAGGCGGAAGCAAAGCTAGTTCTTGTCTGTGACGTTATCAGCTGCAGGTTACTTCTTAGAACCCCATCTTACTTTCCATAGTTAAATAACTTATCCCAGAGTTCCCTCCATTTTCATTTCAACTGGAATATGTCTCTTCCACCTTCTGGCATTGGAAAACACTGCCATGTCTCACAGACTGAATCATAGTCTCTATTTTCAAGGGCAACCCATGTGCTAGGGAATTTCATTGCCTTTGTTAAGTTAGTGGAAGGAAAACTAATATGTGCTTTATTTTCTTTTAGGTATGCACAAATTTGACTGATACTCTGAGGGCAGCTTTCTGAATTGGATTGATTGAGAGGGTCCTCCTTGGAAGAGGATATGGATGGGGGTTTGGTAAAAGGGGCAAATGTCAAATTCATTTAAATATTTTAACATTTATCTTTATCTTTCACACTTTTCTACTTAGAATCATATAATATTAAAGGTGGATTGATCCAAGCCCTTATTTTATAATAAGAAAACTGAGGCTCAGAGAGATGAAGTGGCCGATACTGCAAGGCTGAACAACCAGTGATTGTCGGAGCAAAGGTCAGAATCTCTCTTATCATTTCTGGTTGGGGATGTCTGGGGATGTCTCACCTCCACCACACTCCCTTCGGTCACATCTCAGAACAGTGTCACAGCTTCCTCCCCCTGGACACATGTGCACCCTACATGCCTAGGCTCTGGAGGGTCTTGACTGATCACCCCTGCCCAAGAGGAAGTGAGGTGACAGCGAGCAGACCTGTTCAGCACAGGGCTTTGGAGTACCAGGGAGTCTTGGTGGGGACAGCGAACCTAGGCACCTGCAGCCTCACTGTCATTGTCACAGCATCCTGCTCACTGCACATATTCACTGGTTTGGACAATAATGTGAACAATGGCTTATAACTATTCATCATTTTAAAAGCCATCGGTTGAATTGCCCCAGTCAATCCCACAGTTCCATTTTTTCCTATTTCTCTGTGGCTTTTGACCAGGAGTTAAAAAAAAGAATATTAGAGACAGAACAGCTATTCTGATGCTTGGAACAAGTTCCAAGAACTGTGTTTTCCAGAGGAGGGAACTGGGAGGGGTTGGTTGGCTTAAGCGAAGGTGAAGGAGCAGTCCTGGGGCCTGGCACTGGGTGCATAGCAAGAATAAAGGAGCACAGGCGGCCTCTGAGATGCAGCTAAAGACTATTGCCTTCGTGGGTCCTTTACATATAAAAAATTAATTATTTTATGGTTGTATTGATATAATAACAAATAAAATCTAAGCTGGATTCATTATTATATACTCACTATTATTATATTTTGATTTTAAAAGAAACTAAAAGGAAGCATTTTCAAGGTCCCTAAAAGTAGTATAGGTTGGGCCTGGGTCCTGTGCCTCCCTTGTATGACAGAGCGGTTGTCATTCATCAGAATCACATGGACTGAGACAAACCCTGCCTCCGTTGCTTCCTTTTCATGGCATCTTAAGTTCCCCAAGCCCCTGTTTCCCTTCCTCTTAAATGTGTTAATCATCCACCTCTGCCCAGAGCTGCAGTAAGGATAGGGGAGATAATGTGCAGCAAAGAGGTGCCCCTGCCCATCTCCACTTCCCCCCTTCCCTGGCAGGGTGCTCCGTGGCATTCTGCCCTGCACCTCTCCCTCTGCAGGTGTGGACAGACCACTGGCTATTGCATAGCTATTCAAGCACCCAGTTTTCCAGAGGCCCGATCATTTTTCTCCCAGTGTATGAAACTCCCTCTGTTTTTGTTATAAGTAAACATCACTCAAACTTCCCTCGGATGATGTCCAGCCCCCTCCAAATGATTTCATGTTCTCCCAATTGTTGCACAAACGAAAGCTAACCTCCCGTCTAAGATAATTCACTTTGAGCATCTTTTTAAAAAATTTACTAACAGTGTTACTCCAACCATGGGAGACATAGTATTACATATGCTCTTGGTTCTATTAATGGTGAAAATAACCAAGAATGAGGCATCCTGTGGCATTCTGGGGCCTGCCTTGCTCACTAGTCATTTGGCATGAACAATTGTGAAAGACTTTGAAGTGGGAAAAGAAAGTGGGTGGTTCTATATATATATCTCAAATGATAGTCGTCCATATGAATGGAATGGAATTGATCATGGTTCTACAGAAGAACAGTCTTAAGACTATTTGTATATTCATGTTATAATTTCTTATTCCCTTCCTATATATGTATTGGTTCCTGGAATTTTCCATTGAACTAGTTGTAACATTTTACTGGTTCCCTCATTTAACTAATGAGTAAAATAAAATCTTTAACATACATTCATTTTATATATGTATGAGAGTCTTATTTTACCCGTTAGCACATTTCATCACCAGAACACCCTTAACTCCCTCACATAGCCTTGTTAGCTTCTTATGTGGATCAAAGCCTAAAACCAGGCTTTCAAATCACAGGCCCACAATGAACCTAGATTATCTGACAGAAGGAAAAGATATCAAGTAAACTTGGTGATATAAAATAAATAGCTTCATTATGAGAAGTCTGGAAACCCAATCTCTTGGATACTGGTTTGAGATAATTATATATGCATACTCTCTTTCACAATTTGTGTGTGTGGTGTTTTAGGTTGAACCACATGAAATTTCTATCTTATATTTTAAAATGGCCAAATATCAGCAAATCCAAATCATTCAATCTAATGTGTGTGTGCATGTATATGTGTATATATATATGTATGTATATGCATATAGAGTATGCATGTGTGTGTATATATACACATATACACTCACTGCACAAATTTATACAGAGTAAAACCCTAAGTGATAATGGAATTTTCTGGGCTAAATTCAAACTCAGCCGACAACCATGTTTCTCTCTGTTTCTGGGTTTCTTCAAGCTCTCATTTCTGAAAGTTTTTATGAAACATCAAGAGGAGAGAAGTGCAGTATTGTAGGAAACTTGAGCCAGGAATTAGACTTTTGGTTTGACTCTTGCTGTAAAATGTTAGTTAACATCACCTTAGAAAATTTTTCTTTGATGCTGAAGGACCCTGCAGTGTCTCTGGTACCATCTGACCTGTTTCTCCTGAGGATCCTGAGGGACTGGGAATTTAGTTTAAATAGGAGCTTGAACTTCTTTGTTTTACTTTTAGTTGGTTATCTTCAGGGTTTGAAGGAAAAACAATCTCGATACAAACTTCTGTTTTTCTGATTGGCCTCTACCAAAGGTGAAGGAAGCAAACCTCACATCTGGCTGAGGTTCCACTTAGCAGGGCTCTGATGATTTCTGAGTCTCGCCTACATCTTATAGAACATGTCCCCACACACAAACCAGCGCTCTCTCATGCCTCTCATGTTGACTGTACCAGCCATGACAGTGATGGCTCTGTGGAAGAAAGGACGGCCCCTGTTCCTAGTCTCACCCATGCTCTTGGTTCCAGCTGCAGCAGAGACTTCTTGAGTCACCTTCAGATTCTCACCTTTTCTGCAATGTGTGTGACCTTCAAGCATAGGCCTTAGAATACCTCAGCCCATTAAGCTCTGTCTGACATAAGGGAGAAAGCATAATTACATCTTAGCATGGGACGTCGTTGGTGAAGTTTATTACTGTATACAGAGGAACTTGAATTTTCCAAACATTTGGAAAAAAGTGAAAAATGCTCCTCAGGGAGTGACTGTGGTGGAGACAAGGAGAGTCATAGGACATGTACAGATAAAGGCCAGGATAAGAGAGACACAAGAGAAACACGCATGCTTTTTTTATGTAACAGCTTTATTGAGATATCATTTATAGATGAAAAAATTCAACCTTT